GTGTGTGTGTGTGTGTGTGTGTGTGTGTGTGTGTAAGTGTTTGTGTTTGTGTGTGTGTGTAAGTGTTTGTGTGTGTGTGTGTGTAAGTGTTTGTGTGTAAGTGTGAAGTGTGTGTGTGTGTGTAAGTGTGTGTGTGTGTGTGTGTGTGTGTGTCTGTCTGTGTGCATGTGTGTCTATCTGTGTGAATGTTTATATACGCGTGTCTGTCTGTGTGCAAGTGTATCTAAATGTATCTGCATGTGTAGATATATGAAAAAAAAAATGTTAATGATAAGATTATGACTCATTTCACACAAACAACATACGCAGGTGTGGAATTCGCGGCGCAAGTGTGTGGATTCAGCAACAGATGTCACCCACACCAACATCTTCAATATTCAGAGCGCTTGGGATTTAGGCGGGTAATGCAAGCAATGTATCAAATATTTGTGTGTGTGTGTGCGGGTGTGTGTGTTGTGTGTGTGTGTGTGTGTGTGGCGTGTGTGTGTGCTGCGTGTGTGTGTGTGTGTGTGTGTTTGTTGGTGTTTTGTTTGTGCGTGTTGTGTTGCCGGTGTGTGTGGTTGTGTTGTGTTTTGTGATGCCGTGAGGTGTTGTGTGATTGATGTGCTAGAGATAGTGATGTAGGTGTATGATGTGTGTGTGTAGGTATTAATGTGTAGTGATTGCGTGGTGTGTGATAGTATGTGAGCGATGGAGTGAGAACGTGTATGGTGTGGTCCATGTAAGTAATGTGTGTGATGTCGTGTGTGTGTCCGTATGATGTGCCGAGCGGTTTTTGATGATGAAGATAAAATAACATAGATAAGCATATACACGTCAAACAAACACACGCAGATAATGTGAGGAATGTGTATGTATGAGACTTAGTGTGTCAGATGATTTGCTGTGATACGTGTGCGTGCAGTGTGTATAGTGTAGAGTGTGCCAGTGTTTTGATGTCATACAAGTCATAAAAATAATACAAGTAGATATTAAATAACTACGCCCATTAAACAGCTACATTACGCAGATAAATTAATTGTTGTTGAGTAGTAGTAAAGATTAATAGGGCAACTTGTGTTAGATGTGTTTTGTGTTGTTGCAAAGATTAATGATGTATGAGTGTGTTGAGTAGTGTGATGTTAGTGTGTGTAGAGTAAGACTGTGATGTGGTATGAGTTGTGATGTGTGTGTGTAGCATTGTATGCGATTAGTTATTTGACAAAGTAAATACAGCCATATAATAACATAGATATATAACAACGCAAACACAGCAACAAACTCAGATATTAGGAAGTAATGAGTATGTATGGACTTTATGTTGTGTAAAGTGACGTTGTATAGTGATGGTGATGTGATTGATGTATTAGTGATGTAGGGACTAATGTGTGTGGTAGCTGTGGTGTTGTAGTTGATGTTATGTGTGTGTGCTGTGTGTAGTAATGTAATAAGATGTATATTGATGTGACACATAATTCAATTCATTATATATCAAAAAAACATATGAAAAAACAGATTAATACAGAATCCTATTGAAACAGGAAACCTATACGCCAAAAGTACTACTTTGAAAATAAAGCAAACGAGCAATCATCATACACCTTAGAATAGCAAATCATATTCAGCAGACCAAAACAGTATGATAATAGACGAACAATATAATCTATAACACCAACATAACTATCACATTCATATAATAATTCGGTCGAATTTTTATATATTGGCATGCGAGATTCCCAACCCAATAATGTATCTTCATATGAGACAAAGAAAATAAAGACATATACAAATAAACATATCATATTCAGTACTAAATCAAAGAGCATAATGTAGACTATAAAATTCAATGATCAACGTGGATGGTTTGTGGAGAGGTATACTAGGATAGAGGGGGATGGGGGTGGGGGAGGTTGTTATGTGTGTAGGACTATGAGAGAGAGGGGAAGGAAGGAGGGAGAGAGGAGGGAATAAGGATGAGAGGAAGGAAGAAATGGAAGCGAGGGAAGGACAAGGGAGGAAAGAGGAGGAAGGGAGAGAAGGTGGGAAGGAGGAGAGAGGAAAAGGAGGAGAGGAAGAAGGGAAGGAATACAAAGCACACACACACACATAGAGATAGATAGAAATAAGGACGTACCACGAGGTCAAAGAACTAAGAGAGTGCTAGAGAAGTAGAAAGGAAGGAAAGAGTAGAAGATAATATAAGAAAGAGATATATAGATAAAGAAAATAGATAGAGAGAAGAGGATAAAAGAATAAGAAAGTAGAAGATATTAATATAAAATAAATAATAATAATAAAAAAAAAAAAATGGAAAGAAGAGGAGAAAATAGAAAAAGGAAGAAAAGACTAAGAAAAAGAAGAAAAAATAAGTAAGGAAGATCCACAGAAGAAGAAACAGAAATGAAAAAAAAGATTATATATAATAAAAATAAAATATAATAATTAGAGAAAAAATAAATATATAAATAAAAAAAATAAAATCAATTAAAAAAAAAGATAAAGGAAAATATATACGCAAATAACAAATATACCAGGATAAAACACAAAGACACAAGATATAACAGTGCATACAAAGTAGGGAAAATCACGAGCCTTAAGATAAACAAGAAGGAGAAGATAAGAGAGAGCACGATAACAGACGATAACACAGCAACACAAGAGACAACAACATAAAATCAGACAAACACAAGAACTACACAGAAAAAATACGAACGCCAGAAGGAGAAAAGAAAATAGTACTAACAACAAATCAGGGTCTACTATTACACCTTCTCGTACTAACTGACTCTAACTACATCATCTATAATTTCAAAGCAGATATCAAAGACGTCCAAACAATACACAAAGGAAAACAAAAATATCTCTAGTCGCGATATGCAAAATGAAACACCCGTCCTTCAAGTAACGCTCACGTGTGACTTATCGAGTCGTTCTGAATCCAAGATTACTACGAAATAATCCATTTTAACGTCTACACTCCCCAAGCAAAGTCAATACATCGCTTCAGAGCCACCTCTGCGCTTCGTCATCCGTCATTACTACCCTCCTCCTCCCGCCGTCCCCCCGTCAACTCGCCCTTTCCTTTCAAAGAAGGCTTCTGCGTAAAGCCTTCTCGTCTTCAGTTTGTATGCTTTCTTTGTTTGTTTGTCTTCTCTTTTCTCCAATCGCCGCTAATCTCCTCTCCTATCTCTTCTTATCGTCACTGCTTGCTCCTCTCTCTCTCTCTTCTTCCTTCTCAATCACTCTAGTTCTTCCACCCCCTCCCCTTCTCTCCCCTGCCCTCCCCCCCCCCCCATCCCGCCAATCCTTCATACCCCACCCCAAATCCTCTTCAAATCTAATCAATCTACATCCAAGTTGTCCGACACAGAACGGACGACTTACAGTTCTATACCATATTAATTTTACTTTATTCACTTAAGGCCTCGACATTACCCCCATCTCGTAAAAGACATCCTGCAACACACACAACAGTAAACATCATAAAAACACAACAATAACAATAACAATCACAACCACACACCCAATAAAACCAACAACCATAACACTCAATAAAACAACCAATCAACAACACCACAACACTCAATCAACAACACCACACCCAGTACACATCAATAAACAGCAAGATCAACCATCAACCTCAACACACAATCACCACAACTCACACACTGTCTACTTGAGACGTACTCCCTCCGCCCAAAACTACTCTGGCTCTCCTATACCACATAACCATGGTAATCTCGCCTATATGCAACTACTCTCATCTCTAGATTCACCCCCCCAATCCCTGCGTCTACCGTTCTCTCTTCGATCAGGTGCAGACGTCTTGCATCTCACTTTTTTCGTCCTTAATTAAACTCTCTTGTCTCAATTTCACTTTCTTAGATTATCAATTCCCACGTTTTTCTTTCTTTCCTTCTTTCTTTTTTATTTATCTTTCTTAGGTTCCAAAATCTCACGTTTTGTCTCATTTCACTTCTCGGATTCTAAATCTCGCGTTCTTGGATCATAAACATCTTCCCGGATTCATAAGTTCACGTTCTTGGGATCATAAACTTCTATACCATGGATTCATAAATTCGCATTATGGATTCATAATCATTAATGCGCATTTCATAAAATTCGCGTTCTTGGTTTCATAAACATCTCATGGATTCATAAATTCGCGTTCTTGGATTCATAAACATCTAGATTCATAAATTTGCGTTCTTATATAACATAAACATCTGGATTCATAAATCTCGCGTTCTTGGATTCATAAACACCTCCTGGATTCATAAATTCGCGTTCTTGGATTCATAAATACCTCCTGGATTCATAAATTTTCTTTTTTCACGTTTTCTTACAGTTCGTTTAAGCTTAACACTATGCATTCTCTAGAAATAAAGGAAAGCTGCATTAACTGTACGGCTAAGAACAGTAATGATATATGAATATAATAGCAACTGGTAATTATGTTTATTTTTTAATCATAGTGACGCACCATACAAATGGAATTAATATGCAGTTAATAAGGATGGCAGCGCTATTAACTATACTGAAGATAAGCAACAGAGACAACAAAAACAACTACTATCACTGCTACTACTACTGTCATTACTATTACAATTACATCTACTACTACTATTTCTACCTACTGTTACTGCTATTACTACTCACGTTATTACAACTGCTACTGCTATTATTATCATTACTACTATCATTATTACAACTACAGCTATTTCTGCTACTGTTATTTCTACTACTATTGATAACATTACTACCACTACTGCCACTTTTACTAGTACTAAAATTGCCTCTACTATCGCTGCTAGTACTACCTTTACTATTACCACTACTACCATCACTACAGCTACTACCGCTACTACTACTACTACTACTACTACTACTACTACTACTACTACTAGTACTACTACTACTACTACTGCCACAACAACAAATAATACTTCCACTACTAACAAACAAATACTACTACTACGCCCAACACAAAATACTTCCCAAAGCAACAACTGCAACAACAATCACTCTGAAGTCAGCTGTTTTATTCTCGGCTCCTCCAGAGAAAGGCACTGTGTTCCTTCGTCGAACCAGCTGTTTATGTCGTGATTCTTCGGTTCCTTGTCGAAGTGGAGTCTCTCACACAAGTCACAGAAGGCTTGGGCTTTGAGGTCGTGTTGGCTCAGCTGGTGGTAGTAGCGTTTCCATCTGTGGAGAGGAGATGGGTTGTGGTAGGTGGATTGTGGTAGGAGGGATTCCATCTGTGGAGAGGAGATGGGTTGTGGTAGGTTGTGGAGAGGTTCCATCTGTGGTGAGAGATGGGGTGTGGTAGGAGGGTTTCCATCTGTGGTAAGATGGGTTATGGTAGGTGGATTGTGGTTGTTAGGTTTCCATCTGTGAGGAGATGGGTTGTGCTAGATGGTGGATTGAGGTAGGTTGGTGTGGTAGGTGGGGTGAGGTTTTGAGTTTGTAAGGCATTGTTTGTATGGGGGTAGGGGTGGAGGTTGGGTATGTGGGTGGATGTTGTGTGTGGGTGTGTATGTGTTAGTACAACAACCATTGACATTTAATGAATCTCTCTCTCTCTCTCTCTCTCCTCTCTCTCTCTCTCTTCTCTCTCTCTCTCCTCTCTCTCTCATCTCTCTCTCTCTCTCGTCCTTTCTCTCTCTCTCCTTCGCTCCTCTCCTAACTTCCCTCCCACCCTTCCTCCTCTCCTCTCTTTCCTACCCTCTCCTTCCATCCCACCCTCCCTTTTCTCTTCCTCTCCTCTCCTCCCCTACCCCAACCCTCTCTCCCTTTCCCTCCATCCACCCACCATACCACATGTAACAACCGAAAACATTTTTCGCCTTCCTCTCCCTCTCTACCATACCCACTCTCCTCCTACCCACCCTTCCCTACCTTCCCCCACCATCCTCCTCCTCCCTCTCCTATCTATCCACTCCTCCTTCTCCTACTCACCCTCCACTCTTCCTCCACCCTCCACTCCACCCCCCTTCCCACTCCTCCGCTCCATCCCCCTCCCACTCCTCCCACCTACTCTCTCCACTCCTCCCGCCTTTCCCTCCCTCCTTCTAGTCCTCCCTCCTCCCTCACCACCCTTCCCCCCACCCACCTTCCCCCCTCCCACCCACCCTTCCCCTCCCACCCACCCTTCCCCCTCCAACCCAAGCTCCCCGCACCCAACCCACCCACCCCGAAGTATTCGTTATAGGCGGTGTCGTTCTTATCGAGGTACAGCAGATACTCCGCCAGGGCCTTCGTCGTGTTGAAGGAGAGGGCGTCGATGTAGGAGTGAGCAGGAGCTAGTCTGGAGTAGTTCGCGTAGCCGTAGACTACAGGGACTATGTCTAGTCTGCGGTGAAGGAAGAGAAGTTAAGTGTCGTTATTAGTGTTTTGGAAGTGAAAGTTGTTATTATTATGATGAGATTTATGATTGATGATAGTGATGATGATGACGTGTTGATGATGGTGATGATGTGTGTCGTGTTGATGATGATCTGTGATGATGATGTGTGATGATCTGAATGTTGGATGATGATGATGATGATGATGACTGTGATGATAGTGCCTGTGATGATAGTGCTGGTGATGCTGATTACGATGATGGTGATGATAATGAGGATAATGTATGATGATAATTATGATAGAAATAACAATAGCAATGATGAAAACAATGATAATGATAATTATGATGATAGTAATGATGATAACTACAACAACAATAATATCACAAATTTGAATAAAAAGTGATGATAATCTATGCAGATACTACCACTATTGTTACTGAATAAGAGATAGATAGACAGACAGAGAGAGGGGGAACACAAGATAACAGGCAAACAAAGACATATAAGAGAGAGAGAAAAAAAAAACGCACAAGCACACAAGACCCCCCCCCAAAAAAAAAAAATAATAAAATAAATAAAATAAAAATAATAATAATAAATAAAAAATAATAATAATTAAATAAATAAAAGACAAAACTTCAGGACACGAACTGTAACGTCGTGAAGAACTTCTCCGTGACGTAATCCCGACAGAGCGAGTTCTCAAAAGACAGATAGAACTTGTAGGTGCTGTTCAGGAGGGCGTGGCACTCTCGCCAGTTCGTCTGCGCGCACCTGTAGGGCCCGCAGTTCCCGTACACGTCCACTGTCAGCCACTTCTGCAGGGACTTCGCAGGCTGTGGGTGAGTTGGGGGGGGGGTTGAGTGTGGTTTGGGGGAAATGGGGGGTGGGGGTGAGTGTGTGTTTTTGGGGGGAAATGGGTGGGGCGTAGTGTGAAATGGGTGGGGGTTGAGTGTGTGGTAGGGGGGAAATGAGGTGAGTGGGGGGTTGAGTGAGGGGAAATGTGGTGGGGGGGGTGAGTGGTTAGGAGAAATGGGGGTGTTTAACTTTGGATGGTTGGTGTTGACACGCCCACCGTCAGCCACTTCTGCAGGGACTTCGCCAGACTGTGGGTGAGTTGGGGGGGGGGTGTGTGGTTGGGGGGAAATGGGTGGGGGGGGGTTTGAGTGCAGGGAGCCAGCTGTGAGTGGGGGGGAAATGGGGGGGGGGTGGTGTGGTTGGGAGAAATGGGGTGTTTAACGTTGAATGGTTGGGTGCTTGACACGCCACCGTCAGCCACTTCTGCAGGGGACTGCCAGGCGAGTGAGTGGTGGTTTGGGGGAAATGGGGTGGGGGGGGTGGGCGGGAAAGGGGGAAATGGGGGAGTGTGTGGTAGACAATGTGGGAATGGGGATGTGAACTAGTCCCGTCAGCCACTTCTGCCAGCGACTTGGCCGGCTGTCGGATGGGTGATTTAGTGGGTTGAGTGGGTTGGAGGAATGTGGGGGAAATAGGGTGATTAATGATTAGGAAATGGAGGATACAGAAGTCTTCAGAGATTTTTTTTTCTTTTTTTGGAGGATGGAGGGTGGTTGTGTGGCTTTATATATTCATGAATAAGTACAATTAAGAAATAAAAACAATAACATAAATTGAGTTTTTCTCATACCTATACCTCTAAAGATTCAAACCCATAATCCTCCCTCAAACTCAGAATTCCACAAGATTTCTCTTCCCTTTTCTTATATTCAAAATCTCGCGTTCTTGTCTCACTTTCACTTTCTCGGATTCTAAATATCGCGTTCTTGGATTCATAAACCTCTCCTGGATTCATAAATTCGCGTTCTTGGATTCATAAACCTCTCCTGGATTCATAAATTCGCGTTCTTGGATTTACTCTAACACATCTGGGATTCATATAAATTCGCATCCGTTCTGGATTCATAAACCTCTCCTGGATTCATAAATTCGCGTTCTTGGATTTCATAAACCTTCTCTGGATTCATAAATACGCGTTCTGGAATGCATAAAGTGTTCTGGATTTCATAAATTCGCGTTCTTGGATTCATAAACCTCTCCTGGATTCATAATTTCGCGTTCTTGGATTCATAAACTCTTCCTGGATTCATAAATTCGCGTTCTTGGATCATAAAACCTCTCCTGGATTCATAAATTCGCGTTCTTGGATTTCATAAACCTCTCCTGGATTTAAATTCGCGTTCTTAGATTCATAAACCTCTCCTGGATTCATAAAATTCGCGTTCTTGGATTCATAATACTCTCTCCTGGATTCATAAATTCGCGTTCTTGGATTCATAAACCTCTCTGGATTCATAACTTCGGTTCTTGGATTCATAAATCTCCTGGATTCATAACTTCGCGTTCTTGGATTCATAAACCTCTCCTAGATTCATAAATTCGCGTTCTTGGAATCATAAACCTCTCCTGGATTCATAAATTCGCGTTCTTGGATTCATAAACCTCTCCTGGATTCATAAATTTCGCGTTCTTGGATTCATAAACCTTCTCCTGGATTCATAAATTCGCGTTCTTGGATTTCATAAACCTCTCCTGGATTCATAAATTCGCGTTCTTGGATTCATAAACCTTCTCCTGGATTCATAAATTCGCGTTCTTGGATTCATAACCTCTCCTGGATTCATAATTCGCGTTCTTGGATTCATAAAACCTTCTCCTGGATTCATTAAATTCGCGTTCTTGGATTCATAAACCTCTCCTGGATTCATAAATTCGCGTTCTTGGATTCATAAACTCTCCTGGATTCATAAATTCGCGTTCTTGGATTCAAAACCTCTCCTGGATTCATAAATTCGCGTTCTTGGATTCATAAACCTCTCCATTTCATCAACATTCATAACTTCGCGTTCTTGGATTCATAAACCTCTCCTGGATTCATAAATTCGCGTTCTTGGATTCATAAACCTCTCCTAGATTCATAAATTCACTTTCTTGGATTTAAAAAAAATAATAATAATAAGGATGATATAATAAGATAAAAGAAAATCACACTTACTTTTCCCTCTTGCTCTCCGTGTTACAATGGGAGACGAACCGCGGCCTTTCGTCTTTCCTTCTGCATAATTCCTTCTCGAACTCGGGAGGTCAAGGGGCGTCTCTCGCTTCACAACACGTCCGTATCTGTTGTGAGTGTAAGTTGTGGATTCTTGAGCTTCGGTTTGGTTGTAGAATTGTGTGTAGAGTTTTGTTTGTGTGTGTGTGGGGGGGAGTTGTGTAGGTGTGATGGAAGCGTGTAGGGGGGGGGGGGTTGTGTGTAGTGGGGTGGTGTGTGTGTGTGTGTGTGTGTGTGTGTGTGTGTGTGTGTGTGTGTGTGTGTGCGTGTGTGTGTGTGTGTTTGTGTCTGTATGTCTGTGTTTCTATGTGTGTTAATGTACATTTGTGTGCGTTTATCATAAGCAGTTTGTGTGCATATATTCGTACATTACATACATTACATACATACATACACACATATTCGTTTGACTTACGGATAGCGAATTTCCGAATCAGCTGCATAGGAGAAAGACCAGTTAAACGTCAATCCGTGACTTCGAATGACATCCAAAAAGTGTGAGTAATTGTGTCCAGGAGATTCCCTCGCCACGAGCACATACCGGGTGTGAGGACTCCTGGAAGTATGAGGAGTGGTTGGAGAGGTATGAGATGATGAGATGAGAGTATATGAGGAAGTATGAGGAGTGGTTGGAGAGGTATGAGGTGGGGGATGGAGAAGGGTGGGGTAGGGTGAGGGTGGCGGGTATGAGGGGGTAGGGTGAGAACTCCTAGAAGTATGAGGAGTGTTGGAAGGTATGAGGTGGTACTGAGGGTGAGAAGAGGTAGGGTAGGGTGAGGTGGGGGAGTATGAGGATGAGTTAGGTGAGGGTGAGTGGGGGATGGAGAAGAGATAGGGTAGGGTGAGAGTGGGGGAGTATGAGGAGTGGTTAGAGAGGTATGAGGTGGTACTGGGGATGGAGAAAGAAGGGGTAGGGTGAGGGTGGGGGGTATGAGGTGGTTAAGTGAGGATAGGGAAGTATGAGGAGGATGAGTGAGGATAGGGATGAGGTGAGAAGTATGAGAACTAGAGATAAGGATTATGAGGATCCATTATAAGGAGTATGAGGTATGAGGATTATTGAGATAGAAAATGGGAGGCTGATGAAGAGATAAATAGTGTGACTGACGATGACGAAGAGAAATAGTGAGGTTAATGAGGAAAAAGTGTGAGGATGGTGAGGAAAGATATATGGACTATAATGACTTAGTTACAGTGAATACAAAAAATAGCGTAAAATTGCAGAAAAGACATCTAGATTAAATAAAAAATTATTTCAACGTATTATATAGGAAAATTCTAGACTTATTATTTGATTATATATTGTTTGAAGCTAAGAAACTTGAGAGAGAAAGAAGAGAGAGAGAGAGAGAGAGAGAGAGAGAGAGAGAGAGAGAGAGAGAGAGAGAGAGAGAGAGAGAGAGAGAGAGAGAGAGAGAGACAGACAGACAGACAGACAGACAGACACAGACAGACACACACACACACACCACTCTCTCACTCTCTCTCTCTCTCTCTCTCTCTCTCTCTCTCTCTCTCTCTCTCTCTCTCTCTCTCTCTCTCTCTCTCTCTCTCTCACTCTCACACACAACACACAGAAACACAAAACACAATTCAAAGACACAGAAACACACACAAACAGATACATACACACACACACAGCAACACCCCCCCCCCAGACCCGCCCCACCCCACTCCTCGCAGGCATGGAGACGTCCCTCGACCTCGTATGCCACACGAGGGCGTCCAGCTCCTCCAGGGGGAACAGATTACGGTCGATGATTACCACACAGGCGTCCACTCGACATCCGGCCGCTTGGAAGGGACCTCGACCTGTTCCGAATCCGTAGTCGAGCTTCCCGTAGAACTAGGGTGTGGGTGTGTTAAGAGTTATTAGATAGGGGTGGTAAGGATTAGTAAGGATGATGGTGGTGGTGGTGGTGATGGTTTGTGTTGATGATGATGGTAAGGATGGTTTGTGTGTAATGATGATGATAAGGATGGTTTGGTGTGATGATGATGGTGGCGTGATGTTTGTGTGTAATGATGATGGTGGTGGTGATGGTTTGTGTGTAATGATGATGATAATAATTATTTGTGTGTAGTGATGATGATGATGGTTTGTGTATGATAATGATGGCGATGATGATTTGTGTGTAATGATGATGGTGATGATGGTTTGTGTGTAATGATGATGATAATGATGGAAATGATGGTTTGTGTATAATAATGATGACGATGATGATTTGTGTATAATAATGAGGACAATGATGATTTGAATATTTATATGATTCTCGGTATTAAAGATATTAGATAATATAACGATAGCGATGATGATAGTAATGAGAATAATGAAAAAAAATGATAACAATGATAAGAGAATGAAAATAATAATGATAGCAATGATAGGAACGAAAAATAATAATGATAAAAATAATAAGAAAATGAAAAAAAGAATAATGATTATAATGATATTAGATATTGGTCGATATATCAGATATTAGAGGCTGAATATATGATTCTAGAGATTAGAATAAAGATAATGAAAAAGAATAATGAGGATCATAATGATATCAGATATTGGTCGAAATATTAGATATTAATTAGAGATTGAATATATAATTCTAGATATTAGGTATTAAGAGTAAGAACAGGATTGAAGGTGTTGGAGATATATCAGTATGTGTTATGAGGGGATTTCTCATTTGGTATGTGTTATGAGGGGATTCTTATGTATGTTTATGAGGGGATTCTTATGTATGTTTTATAGATGGTATTATGTATGTTTATGAGGGGATTCTTATGTATGTTATGAGGGGAATTTCTTATGTATGTTTTATGAGGGGATTCTTATGTATGTTTCATGAGGGGATTATATGTATGTTTTATTTCTTATGTATGTGTTATGAGGGGATTCTTATGTATGTTTCATGAGGGGATATTATGTATGTTTTATGAGGGGATTCTTATGTATGTTTTATGATGGGGATTCTTATGTATGTATGTGTGGTATGCGGGAGATATTGTGCGTGGATGCGGTACCATTTGAGTCTATAAAATGTGATGTGGTGTGTGTGTGTGTGTGTGTGTGTGTGTGTGTGTGTGTGTGTGTGTGTGTGTGTGTGTGTGTGTGTGTGTGTGTGTGTGTTGTGTGGCGTGCTGTGTGTGTACGTTAGATGTATAAAATAAAAGTATAAACAACTACAAATTATAAGAAAATAAAAACAATCAAATAAACAAACTTACGAGCGAATCAGCAAAGAAATTAAACACACACACCAAATCACACCATCACTAAGGTCGATAATCTTACGTCATTCCAAAGCAAAATCTTCTTAAGAGGACCATCAGGCACTGCCAGGCGAGGGTAGGCACGGTTCCCCAAAGATCCGAGGGAAATGGGGGCGCTGCCATTCCTGCATTAAGAGGAGATGGTTGTTAATGGGAGAGAAAGAGAGATAAAGATAGATGGATAGAGAGAGGAGAAGGGGGGGAGAAATAGAGAATAAAGATAGATGGATAGATAGATAGAGAGAGAGAGGGAGGGAGAAAGAGATAAAGATAGACGGATAGATAAAGAGAGAGAGGGGGGGGAGAAATAGAGATAAAGATAGAGAGAGGGGGGTAGAGGGAGAGGAGAAGGGAAGAGCGAGGGGAGGGAGAGGGAAAAAGAGAGAGAGGTAGATGAGAGAGAGAGGGGGGGAGAGGAAAGAGAGGAGAGAGAGAGAGAGAGAGAGAGAGAGAGAGAGAGAGAGAGAGAGAGAGAGAGAGAGAGAGAGAGAGAGAGAGAGAGAGTCAAATAGATGAAAACGAGGAACGTAAGATAGATATAGAAAGGCAAGAAAAAAATTGAATTGAAATGTAACATGTATTAATAAAGATGATAATGATAAAGATAATAATGATGATAAGGATAAAAAGATTAATAATCATAATGATGAAAACAATTGTAATATTCACGAGGATTAAAAAGAATGAAATGATAATAGAATAGAATAATGATAGTATATGATAGCATAAAAATATAAGTATGATAATACTAATAGCAATGATTACGATCATGAAAATGAATAAGATGATAACAGTATATAATAATAATAGTATGATGATGTTAACTATGATAATGATGATAATAACAATTAAGACAATTAAAAAGAATAAAATCATAACAGTATGTAACATCAGTATACAATAATATAATGATAATAATAATTAAGACAATTAAGAATGATAAAATTATAGCAGTATATAACATCAGTATACAATAATATAATGATAATGATAGTGATAACAACTAAGACAATTAAAAAGAAAAAAATATAACAGTATATAACATCAGTATACAATAATATAATGATAATGATAGTGATAACAACTAAGACAATTAAAAAGAAAAAAATATAAACAGTACATAATAAATAATATAATGATAATGATAATCATCACAACCATTAAATTACCTGGGCTGGAGGTTCATCGAAGCCTCAAATCGCTT